CGCCCCTCTCCCTGACGCTGATCTCTGAACAGAACTCGGAGACTGCCAGCCTCTGCGGCAGACCCAAGCTCTCGGGCTAAGGCCTGAGCGGCCAGGCCTTGGCACTGCCCTTTCCAGACCCACACACATGAAAATCTGTGCGCCAGCCTCTGCAGACAGGATTGCTGCTTTGGAAGTGAATCTGGACAGGCTGCCCCCAGAACGGCCTCCCAAGGGAGGGAACTTCCCCCACCCCGACCTGTTCTCAGGGTAAGACACCACCACTGAAAACATTTGTTCCTTATTTAACAGAAAGAGCTGTAGGAAATTCCTCACACTCTTCGGCTTGGGTCCAGACAGGCAGCTACATTCCACCAAAATCCACACATGCGCTTGGCTGCAAACTGCCTCTCCTTCAGCTGAGCGCCGATCTGCCACGGCACCTGGGGATGGCCAAAAGCACGGCTTTGGCTCACCGGACCACTAAACCCAGCAGGAGACGCTGCGTCTCCAGCAGACCACAGCCGCGCTGCCACCAGTACGCGGACGGGTCTCGCGGCCAGCCAGGTATCCAGAACTCATCTTCCTCCAGTGACAGGCGAGCGCATTGTCAACGCAAACGTGAAATCCCACGCGCTCACAATACATTTGTTTTACAGAACCTCCTAATTACTTTACATGGTCTCCCTGGGCTACAAAGAGAGACATAAACAGATTAACTAAATTAGGCCAATTAAAGGTTCCCTAATGGAATGAAATGTTTCAGGCGAGCTTGAGAGAGGAAATGGGCAGGAAGGAATGAAAGACGATGCAGCATCAGGCAAACCAAGCAGGACAGGAAAAGAACGCTTCAAAATATAAGGTTCACAAATAAACCACAATTTCACCTCCTGCGTATCTTGCAGGGTATTCCAGTGAACACACTGTTTATGGACAAAGTTCCTTTTACTCTACGCAACAGAGCATCCTGGAAGGCAGAGCGTCCACCCTGGCCATCACGCTTTCTCCCACCACCGACACGCCACAGAGGTGGGGACAGCGCAGCCTCCTGCAGCAGTGCGTTTGGCAGCGGCATCTTGGGGGGTGACGGGTCACTGTCCCAGGAGGTAAAAAGGGCTGGTAGGTGGCACGGGGATCCCAAATACAGACGAGACAGCCAAGACGGAGCCAGTCAGTGTTACAGAGAGGGAACACATGGCTGCCCAGCACCAGCCTGCAGTCGAGCACTCTGCAGAGCCGGGACAGGAGCAGACCCTGGCTTCCCAGCAGCGACACGCCAAACAAAGGCTCTTGCCTAGGGTAGGAGCCCAGTCACCACGTGCACGGCTCCTTACCTTCCTCTTTCCCCGGACGATGTCCTCTGGGAGGCTCGTGTGGATGAGGCTGTGCACTTCTGTCAGCTCCGTGATGTCTCCCAGGGGCACGGGTGCATCCTCCGGGAGTGGGGACATGAGGGACTCCAGCTCATGCGAGTCCAAGGTGGCACTGGGAGCTGCCACCCCTTGCCTGCTCCGGTGGTAGTAAGTGTGGTTGCCGGCTGCCTGGGAATCCAGGCCTGGCAGGGCCTCCCTGTGGGAAAACAAGCAAGAGCTGACATCTCTGATGAGCCTCTCTTTCCTTTGTCCCAAACAGCCACGGACGGCCAGACAAAGCCACCCCCTCCGAGCCACTTCAGCCTGTCCTTGTGGGAGCGACCAGGCCTAAGCCCCTGTCCTGATGCTCCTGAGGAAGGAGGTTCCCTATCCACATCCTACAGGATCAGCTTTCGCTGCAGCAGCCTCTCCCCAGCTGCATCTCTTCACCACCTCCACTCATCCTAAAGCTCACAGAGCATGGTGCTGGATGCAAAGCCTTCCCCTCACCAGTGGGTCACGAGGGCGTCAGACAACACGAGTCCCAGCACTAGAGCAAGCGCTCTCCAACCCCTGCCTGCGCGGAGCTGCGTCACTTCTGTCATCTCTGCTTTGAAGATCGGAGATGCAACAGGACAGCAAAGTTTGGTGGCCACGTTAGGATGAAACTTCAGAAGCTGCATGTTCCTAGTCCCAAGATCTGCCACCAGCTCAAAGCTCTTCTCAACAGCTACTAAGATGGTTTCCGATCATGGTCTTTCCAAACGCTTGTGGCTGGATTCCGACCCCTGGGAGAGCAGGGGGCTTTGGGCTGAGTCCAATCATCCTTAAACCAGCCTGTCCTTACTGGGAAGCCCTTCAGCATTGTCCCAACTGGAAGTTAACAAACCCTTTCCAGACACCCTTAGAGCCGTCCAACCTCAGCAGCAAAAGACCGCCTGCACTAACAGACACATGTTATAATCTGGCAAACAGTGGTTTTTCCCTTTTCTTGTTTTTTTTTTTTTTTCCAGCCTCTGTAAAGAGCCAACATAGTCTAACAATGCAAATTAAAGAGAAACTACTGAGAAACTCAATCAGTGAAAAGACTACACTATGTTCCTTAGCCAGCTAGCATCCCCAAGACTCCATCTTTGTACTAACTGATGTCAGACGCCGCATCCCAAACAGCCCAGCTGAGCACGGGGAAGCAGCTCGGCGTAGTCTGCCTCCTCCCCCCCCGCAGCGGCGAGGTGACACCCACCTCTGCTTGCTGTTGCGGAAGCTGGCACACATGCAGAAGAGGATGCAGAGCAGCCCCAGGCAGACGCCCACAATGATTCCCGTGACGGAGTGGATATCCAGAACATCTAGGAGGGGAAGGACACATACACCGTTTCAGCTGCTAGCGGGAAGAAGGTACAAAGCGCCTTGCGTTCAGAGAAGCACCAGCTTCACTAGAACCAATAGGTGATGCCTCTATAACACACAAAGGAAGAAGGTTACTCGGCAGTGACAATTCAGAGCAGCTTAAAGCAAACTGGCATCTACACACATTCATTAATTTCGTGCTACACAGGCCTAACGGAGGCAGCAAGGTGCAGGCTGCCCGTGCCCTTCCATAGGAGCTGGGATGGTGAAGAGAGACGAAGTTCGGCTGCGGGATGGGTTCTGGAGCTGCCCGCGGCCTGTGGAGCTGCACATCTGAGGACTCCGCCATGATCCTCCGCACTGGCCTGCACGCAGTCACCTCTCGTGTCCTGCGCAGCGGCAGAGGCAATTGCTCGGCAAACAGAAATGCCACTGCTGACAAATCGCCGTCTTCAGCAGCGCAACTCGCTCCCTGCACCGGGACAAAGGGGCAATGCGTACCAGACAGCTTCTCCCGGAGGGTGTGCACATCCTTAACGTTGGAATAGGGGCCAGATCCCACGACAGTCTTCGCTCCCATCTTGAAGAAGTATCTGGTATCACTTTCCAGGCCATGCACTTCAGTGCTGAAGATATTTCCTGATCAAAAGCAAATCAAAAGAGGTTTAAAACGTGCAGTTTCAAGAGTATTCAGAGGCTGCAGCAAAGCAGTAGTGGAATTCTGCTGGACCCTCAGAAGTGAGGGATTTTGCGTCATGAGCTCTAAGAGGTAATTCAGGGTAAACCCTGTCAGTATTAACGAACTTGCTGCTTAAAGAGCTGATGATAGAGACTGCAGGTAGTGTTGCTGGCATACTGGAATTACTGGCTGCCAGCCTGTATCTGCAGGATGTTTGCTGGATGATAATGACTATTTCATCTGTAGACATGTATGATTTCACGTCTCAGCAGTCGTGTCCTTGGACTCTCCTGTATGACCAGGAGCAAGGCCCAGCACTCCAAGAAAGCTGGCAGCATGAGCTCTTAAATGTTTATTTGTAAGTGCTCAAAGTGAGGCAAAAATCAGGGCAGCAGAACTGACCAAGCAGGGCTCCGTAGGCAGGAAAGCAGGCAGGAGGAGGAGGACCTGGTGGGGTGCTACAGTTCCTCGAGGAGGCTCACCTTCTCGCGTCAGCAAGGTCCACATGTCATCTGGCTGCGTGTTGTTGGCGTTATACAGGATGAGGTACTCCACAATGATGCCGTTGGGCTCGACGGGGGGGCACCAGTGCACCTGCACAGCGTAGGGGTTGAGCGGGTGCAGCCGCAGGTCAGACGGAGGAGTCGAGGGACCTGGCAGAGACAAGACCCAACATGAACAGCAGACAAGAGGAGGACTGCAGTCAACCTGTTGACAATGGCTCTGAACCCTCCTCAGTGGTGCCGCAGCCCTGTTTGCGAGCATGAAATGATGGGCACCCTGAGTGGCCGGACACCTCACCCAAACGAGCTGTGGAGAGCGCATAGAGGAGGCTGCTGAGCCCAGGACAGGGCAGGACTTGTGCATGGGCTTGTTCAGCCTGAAGAAGAGAAGGCTGAGAGGGGACCTTAGAAATGTTTATAAATATCTCAAGGGTGGGTGTCAGGAGGACGGGGCCAAACTCTTTTCAGTGGTGCCCAGCGACAGGACAAGGGGCAACGGGCACAAACTGAAGCAGAGGAAGTTCCAGCTGAACATGAGGAAGAACTTCTTCCCTCTGAGGGTGATGGAGCCCTGGCCCAGGCTGCCCAGGGAGGCTGTGGAGTCTCCTTCTCTGGAGATATTCAAGACCCGCCTGGACGCGGTGCTGTGCAGCCTGCTCTGGGTGACCCTGCTTGGGAAGGGGGTTGGGCTGGGTGACCCACAGAGGCCCCTTCCAACCCTGAACAGTCTGTGACCCTGTGATCATGGTCAACCAGCCAAGGGAAACGCGACGGTGCTGATGAAGCCATGCAGCTCAGTTTGAGACTGTGCAACGTTGGTTATATTTGAAAGAATACTGAGAGCACGCCCCTTCTCCTTGTTGCTTTCTTCTCGATCCTCCCCAAAGCCTTGCTTGATCTGCAACTAGTCCCAGCTAGGGGCAGGACACACAACACCTCCAAAGCCCATCGCTGCTGCTCTGTGAAGCGGAATATCAGAGCTCTCCCTGACGAGCAGGATTTCTCTGAACCCAGAGGCAATCCCACAGTAACAACAATTGCTGCCCTGATTCTCTTCGCATGCTCGTCCCTGTTTCCAAAGCAGCACTCCTTCAACAGGTTTGGGGATGCCAACAGGATGCTTAGCAGCTCTCAGCCTTCTACACACTCAGGGACACCAGAGCTTGGAGGTGATCTGAGATTACCGCATCTCTCAGGGGCACATTAGGAGGGATTTGACAGAGATTTGGGGAAAGTCAGGAGAAATCAGGATTCGATTCCCACAAGAACTCACGGTCGGGAAGATGCCAACGCCATTGGACTGCACAGCAAACTCATACCTGGTGTAGGGCTTCAACCCACTAATGAGAATGTCCTCATCCGAGCTGCCAAAAGAGGACACGTTCACAAGGCCATAAACACTAGGTGGTTCTCCCACCCACTGCCACCTTGATACCTTACCAGGAGCACCGCAAGAGATTATCCTAACTCCTACATGATTTGATTTTTCATCTAAAGCTTCGTCTCCTGCAGTCACGTGAATGCAAGAGAGCTCAGCTCCCAGTTACAGAGCAGAGTAAGTTCCCAGCCTCCAGGGCCATTTTTGATGTACTTGCAGAAAAAAACTTGAAAACACAGCCTGGTTATGGGCTGACAACCTACCTGGGAATCCAGATTTAACATATATCCCCAATTTATTATAACTGCTTAAACTCTAGCAATTTTTAAACCAAATTTACAAGGACTATCTCACAAATCATGAATGCTTTGAGACTGGGCATAACTGCGCCTGGCTTTGTTATTAACAGGGAAGCAAGCATGTAAGGTCCAACCAGAGCAGAAAAGATGCAGACACCAGCCAGTAAATGACCCCCCGCTATTCAAGTTATAGAGAAGTCCCAGTGCCACATTTCAGCCGTTCTGAATGCATCTGTGACCAGGGCAGATGTTTCCAGCATGTGAAACACCCAGGATTTTGCTCAGTACTGGAATTTCCATGCAGGTTCCTCCTGCCCTGTGTTTATTCCTGACACAGCAGATGAACCCTTAGCACCCCTCTTTACCTTGTGTAGTACGTAACAAGAGAGGCATTTTTCAGGCCCCAGGGGCTGAAGCGCACAGTGTAGTTGACAATTTTGACTGTTGTGAAGTCAGGTTTCTTCCACCTGAGCCATATGGAAGTTGAGCTGTTGGACTCTGCATAGACTTGGACTGGAGGCAGCGGAGGACCTTTCTGCACAGGAGGATCTACGGCGGAAGACAGAAAGAGAAAAGAGATGTGGAGACGTACGTGACATTCAGGCACGAGACAGCCATCACGGACACAGAAAACATGGAATAAAGTAGACCTAGGTTATGAAGCCTGTACGGTGGTGGTGTGCTGCGGTGGAGCACAGGAGGCCAGCTTCAAAGCGACCCACCTCACAGACCCACACCAGGGTAAGGAGGAGCCCAGGCTGTTCACCATCCCACCACAGGCTGGCAGAGCCAAGAACAGAGCCTGGGTCTTCAGAGCTTTTGTTTTCTTTGTAACACTGCAAAAAGCCTGGCATGCTGCTAATTCACTTTCTTGAATCTTTACAACATAAGAGATGAAACCGAGGTTGACTGGTATTTCCAAGACCACCCCTGAGCCACTAACGGGGCCAGAGAGAACGCGGTGAAGGCCATCCACACCCAGTGTAGGAACAATCCCAACGAGAACGAGGACATTTTGCTCCTTCCTCTCCTTCCCAAGACAATTCCTCCAAGGCAATTTGCAATTACTGTCAAAGGGAGTTTCCTTATGTTGGGACCTTGCCCCTTTTTGCATTGTCCCTCTTCATCTCCTGTGACTTTACGTCTACCCCTCCTCTGAAGCCACGTGCCAAGCAGAAGAGACAGACAACAAACGAAGGACATTCCTCACCTACTGCTGCTGCAGGTGCCTTTTCTGTTTTGCCCTTCCAAACCGCCGCATAACCATCTTCGTGCTTATTGAATGCCACCAGCTTCACCTCATAGAGTTTCCCAGGAGCTGGAAAAAAATCAATCAGGGTTTGTCTGGGGTTATTTTTGTTACCAACCCTCCCCCAGTTAGACACGTTTCCTTTGATCTGACCAGCTTTTCTCAGCATTCATGAAAGTAGCCTGAACAGAGTTGTATTTGCTAAAAGACATCAAGGAGCCCCCCTTCCACTTACAGGTTCTTCACATTCAAGTGCTGCCTCGCAACTGGTGCACAGATCACAGCTACTCTCTAGTCCTCTCCCCTCACTTTTTACAGAAATTACTACGAGCAAATGGACTTGCCCCAGCCACCAAGGGTTAACCACTGCCACAGAATCATGGAATGGTCTGGGTTGGAAGGGACCTTTCAAGGCCATCTAGGTCCAACTCCCTACAATGAGCAAGGACATCTTCAACCAGACCAGGTTGCTCAGAGCCCAGTCCAACCCGACCTTGAGTGTTTCCAGGGACAGGGCATCAGCCACCTCAGGTCACGGCCTGTTCATCATCTCAGGATCTCCTGATCTTTCTTCCCTGCAGACTACTGAAGAAACCTATGCATGACGACTCCTCTCTCTCCCACAGATATGGATGCACTGAATTGTTTGTTCTTGCGGAGCGAGGACATCCTCTCCTCTCCAAAATGCACCTCCCATTTTTAAAGTCCCTTCTGATTTATTCACTGCTGTGAGGATCTTCCTTCCAGCAAGTCCCCACATGCCAGTTAAGTCACTGCCAGCTTTTGTTGTACAGTGACTATTTTGCCTCCACAGCAGAGTTTGTTGATTTGCAATTAGAAAAGCTCACACCAAGCCCACACCACAAACCCGAGGATCCTCGTTACATGCCCTTCCATCAGACAGCCACATGCTCTGAGGGGAACCTCACGCTTGGGACCCAAACTGAGCTGCAGGACAGGCCGCTCTGTGCTGTGTTTGTCTCCAAACAGTGCTGCCGTGGTCCAAAATCCACCTCCCTCTTTCCTCCAGCCTTTCATCAGCTGAAATACTCCTGTGCTGTGTTACGTTACATCTGATTTTTTTTTTAATGGAGCTGTTTAATGGAGAAAACAACTTGGAGATACAAAGTTCTCAAGTCAGACACTCGCCAGCTTCTCCCTTCAGCAGCCAGCCCATTCAGAAGCTCAGCGAGAGCAGTCCAGACTGCCTTCAGTTGCCTTGGTTGCAGCACATTGATGAAGTTTGTTAATTTGGGACATGCCTGTTCATTCCCTGCCCTGATAGATCACTGCTCTCTTTGCCAGACAATGTAAGCAGAATAAAACCTTTCTTACTGATGCCAATTTTATTATTACTGCACCGATTATGCTCCTAGAGGCTAATGGTACCAATTACCAAAGGCTTTCTCTGCTCCACAACACATGTTCGCGCTCGGAATATAAAAACAGTTCAGCCACATTTTTCTCCCCGGAAGAATCCCAAAAGCAAACAGTTTTGTCTGCTTCCACGGCAGCCTGATCTGCATTTCCACGCTCTGCAGCCGCAGGAAAATGCTTCAAACCCACAGAAGGGGGGGAAGGGGCCAAAGGGTGCTCGACTTCCTATGAGCTGGGACCACGGGCTTGGGGAAACAAAGAACCCCACAGCCTGTCTCTTGCCAGCACACACACTCCTCCTCCTGCCTGGGCTTCACTTGGACACAAGCTCGTCATGGATGATGCAACCCAAAATGATGAGAAAGAGCTCACAGATGTGGGGCAGCTCCTGTTGGAGAATGAAGTGAAGGAGAGGGCAAGTCCTCCATCTCCAGCCCTGGGCAGGATCGATATGGCAGCCACTTAGACATGATGCCAGAGGAGCTCTACTACAAGATCAAGCAATCCATATTCTGAAAATAGGGGTATTTTGGATTTCTCAGTCAGAGGCTTGGCTTCAATTCTTATACACAGGCCCAGATGTTCAAGCTCTCAGAACACGCAGACATAAAGCTCTATCAAGCTGTCAAGAAGCTAGTAGGCAGCACGAAAACAGATGTATGTCACTGCATTCCATCAAACATTAAATGTAAGCAGAATAATCTAGTCCAGATCATTTCAAATCGCTAATCTGGATGACTGCATAATATATCCAATATGCTAAGTACGTTGTTTTATTCAGTTTTTCAAGGTGTTTGTGTTGGCCAGAAGCCATAGGCCATACTTTCCTCTAAGTGGGAAAATACCCTGCTCTCCAGGGAGTGACTCCAAGAGGAATGCACTTTTCCTTCATGGGAATGTGGAAGACAGGATTAGATCCTCACCATTTATTTTTCCTGTAGAGCCCTGGTAGTTGCACACCGGTTCAGAGACTTAACTGCAACAATGCAGATGGAAGTCAATGAGAATTTCTCAGGGAAAAGCCCTCCTGGTGATTTAGGACAGCTTCCTTTTGATTTTGTGGGCTCAGGAAATTGCTGTATTTCCTACATGCCTTTGAACAGTTGCCCTCACAGGATTCCAGCACGTAACTCTCAGACAAGATACAAGGCGGGCCATTAGCAGTATCGCTCTAAGGAGACACGGTTTGCTCCACAGGTTAGCACGAGCATGGGAGAAAAGTCTTCTTTTATTTCAGACAGCTAAAATGGAGATAGCTGGGACTTTACCGAAGGCAAAATCAAGAAGCCAGACGCAGGGGGTAAGGCAAAGGATGAGGAAGCCTGCAGGACAGAAGAGCTGGTGGACACAGAACCTCACGCTGGACCAGCACAAGGCCTTGCTGCAGCGTCAAACGCAGCCTGATGTTACAGGAGACGCGGGCAGGGCTCTTTGCCGGTGTAACAGTTGTGTTGTCGCTGTGAGTAACGAGGATCTGTGCTCAGAAAGCTCTGTCCACAGCTGCCTCCTGCACACTCATCCACCCACCTCCGTCTGAGGCACGCCTCGGAAGGAGCCGTCTCCCCAGAAAGCGCTTCCCCCTCTTGCCCTGCTGTGATCCTGGGAGAAAAACAAGGAAAAACCAGGAAATCAAAATCGAGCTGTGCAGGAAGAAGCAGCGGGACAGGAGTTTTGTCTCTCAGGCTGCACCCCAAACGAAGACAAGCCAAGGGGCAGAGCGCTGGCTCCAGTGAGACTGCAGAGACGTGGAGCCAAGGGGCGTTCAGTGAGCACGCTGCAGCACTACGCAGCCTCCAGCGCGCAACTCGGACCTTGTTCGCACCGGCGTGGTGTGCAGCCACGTCCGAGCTACAGCCCTGTGTTCCCAGTGCCTAACCCGGGATTTCCTGACACCATTTCAAACACCGGAACAGGCTCCCTAGAGAGGTGGTCGATGCCCTGTGCCTGTCAGTGTTTAAGAGGCATTTGGACAACGCCCGTAAGAATTTGCTTTAATTTTTTGGCAGCCCTGAAGTGGTCAGGCAGTTGTACTAGATGATGGTTGCAGGTCCCTTCCAACTGAAATATTCTATTCTATGTAAACAAAGAACTTACTTTTCTATTCTCATCTCTTCAAGCTCTTGACCCTATTTGTAGCTTCAGCCGTGGCACCTCTCCAACAGGCCACCTCCCGTGGGCCAGCACCGTTCACCACACGCAGCCCGCTTACCCTGACACCAAGAGACACTCCCAAGAGACGGCGATGGGTATTTCGTTTGTTTGCTTCTAGAGGGATCTTCGGAGAGGTTTCCACCGCTCTGCTTCCCAGGCAGATACCCACAAGCTGGGAAATCCCCCCAACTGATTCCTCAGCAGCAAAGATCACGTTAGGGCTGCCAACCCTTCCCGAGACCGCTACCCACCCTGCCTACAAGACCCCTAACGCAGATGTAAGTACCTTCACAGGGTAGCTCCCCGCCACAAAACGAAACCCTTCTAAAACCCAACCACTCCTCCTCCTTGTTTCACGTCCAGACCCCCTGCCTTTCTCCGCACAGCCAGACTCCTGACCTCTTCCTCTACTGTACGCATGCAAGAGTACGTCACTCAGCAGCGCAAGGGGGAGAAAAGAGAACATCCACGGCTGGAAGAAACCCGAGACTCTCTTCCTGACCCGATGATCGCCGATACACAACCCCCAAATCATAAGGAAACCATTAGGGCTTGACGGATGCCCAAATTTAAGGAAGTAATTACAGAAGAACAAGCAGCCTTCTCAGCATCATCGTGCCAGAGCATTTGGAACCAATTCAGCCCACTCCCGAGTCCCTCCGCTAACTGACTTCCCAGGGGTTAGTGCAGCGCGTGACAATGTTCCCATGTGGTTTCCTCAGTGCAATAATTACAGACCGAAATTCTGCAGAGAAACTCATAACTGTTAACACCCTCTCAGTGGCAGGATGGCTGCAACATAGCTGGAAACCTACTCAGCGATGACACAAACTGTCTTTCCAGGTGCTGCAGCCTGGCCTTTACACCATGCATAATACGTATGCTGGATGTGTAAGGTGAACCAGCACGAGAAACACTCGCCCCACAGTCTCAGCTCACTGGGCAGTAGCAGGGATGAAGCATGAAGCGGTGGAGGGAAGAACTCTAAGAAGCAGAATCGTGTTTCAAGGACGCATCTGCGGTGCAGACTTGTTCTCCAGCCACAGACACTCACTGTTCTGCCCCTTTTCCCTTAGTGGGAGGTGGAGGAGAATACTGGCCCAAAATTAGCATCCTCTGAATTAACCCATCTCTGCATTTCAATACAGAGATTTCAACCAGCATGCAGTTATGGAGCTTCTTAGAAATACACAGGGAAGGAGACATCATTGTCCTGACAGGAGATTTTAATCTATGCACTCTTTACAGTGACACAGTAAAAACCACTAATTGATTTAGGTCCACTTACTAGCACGTAGTAAGTGTATTACTAGCCCTTGGTTAAAAATACAATCCCTGTTACCTGTTTTAAACTCAGCTTAGGATAAGCTCCAAGAGCCCTATTCCAGAAAGTATTTTGGGTGCTCTGAAAAAAGTTCAGCTCACACGGTCCTGGTCCTACGTAACCGCAGCCACGCAGATCACTGAGCCTCTCAGAAGCATCCCACAGGGCAAGAGACAGACCCTGCGTTTCCACGCCAACTGCCAAGAAGACGTAACCCGCTAACCTAGTCGAGTCAGCTCGTACTGCTTCACTTTCTTCTTTAGTTTTATGGGTCCTACGTCCCAGCTCTCATCTTCAGCACCATCCACAGGGCTCTCATCGCTGGACTCCTCTGGGCCCACTTCTCGGTAGTAGAGCTTGTAGCCTGATATCTGGGCATGGTTGGCTGGGGGCTGCCACGTTATCAGGAGAGACTCCATCTTCGCTCGGACTTTTAATTCTGTCGGGGCAAATGGAACTAGAAGAACAACAAGACAAGAGAACAATGTTCAGCCACTTGTTTCCATGTCCCAGCTGTACCGAATCCTCCCTGTCCTTGGCAGTGAGGGAGGGGTGTGAGGAGAGGCTGTCCTGTGAGCAGGATGTCTCCGCTCTCTGACAAGAGTGGTACAGTTATGCTCTACCGTTGACTTTACCAGCCAGGTGATACAGGAAAAAATATAACGTTGCAAAGTCGCTGGGGGAATTTCTCAAGGAATTCTAAGATAACAGCATCTTTAACCACTGCTGGAGTCTGGCTTGGGCTCAGTTCTGTTCGGCAGAACTGTCTATCCACTCCCAAATGTCGTAACATTGGAGCTTGGGGGTTTTGTCTGTTTCTTTCTTTCTAAGAGTTTTCACAGCTGCACAGGAGGGAGGAAAGACCCCACCACCCAGGCAAGCAGAAAGACCTACAGGGGCTACTCAACAGAAAGATAAAAGGTGTACTTTGGTCTAACCAAAAGCAATGGTTACAATTCCCTAATGAAAGTATCTCTGATTCCCCAGTGTCCTGCACACCCTGCCCGAATCCCAGGCACTACCCAGCCTCCTACCATGCGTCTGGTTGTCCCTGTCGGGAGTCCGATGCTGGGTCCACTCAGAAGGGGCCCCATAGCCCATGCTGGTGCTGGCGGCGATGCGAACTTTGTATACTTTGTTGGGATGGAGCGAGTAGAGAGTGATCTGAGTCTCATTTCCACCCACTTCCATGGAGGTGACCTGATCTGCTGGAACCAAGGCAACACCATTGAAAATGTAGTTTTCCCAGTCAAAGGGAAATACAGCCGAGCAGCCACAAAGCCCACCTACGCAGTGTCATCTGCACGCCCTGGGCTGCCTTGGCGTTGCCCAATGCAATCTCACACCACCAGGAAAAACTAAAGACTGGACAGAGCTGATGTCCTGACTGACAATCCCCTCCAGCACACTCCAAACTGCCACCTCATTCAGCCCCACCGAGCCTGCCTGGAGGAGGGCTGTCGGAAACTCTTCTGCCGCTGCTGACGCGATGGCAGAACACGAACACAGCCGACAGCAGCTGTTCCAGTGCTTCTCCTCACTGTATTTAAAGCCTCACCTTAATGTGAATCAGAACTGCCCAGCAGCCCTGCTTTCTGCAAAATTCACACCTTCACCCATGCCAGGTCTTACCACTCTCTCTTTAGCCCACTGAAGTTCCTAAGGGAGATGACAGGAAATTTAAACTGAGAATGGCCTGGGATTTTCACTGCAACAACTAATTGGTCTTGCCAGTTTGGTGAATGCAGAGGTCTTGCTTTTGAGCTTCACCTGGTGTAAGCTCAGCTGGGAGCGCTGTCCCTGCTATGTAACAGCATTTTCCAACCTATGATTCTATGAATCTATGAATCTATGATTACTGAGTGGGATCCTTGGACTGCAAACGTCGCCAAGGTTTTACGATGCCACAGAACCACATGCAGGTTCAGGGCAAAAAAACAAGAGCCAGGAGTCCCAGTGCAGACTACTAATCCAGATCAAACACAGGGGAACACATGCAGCACTTAACCACACTCCCCATCCTTCTCTTAGCAAGTATCATGACCCCAGGAAGTGAGAAGCTGCAGAGCTTTAACGGTTTTAAGAGCAAATACCCAGAAGGATCTGCAAAGCAAGCACACGTGGCATTGGAACATCTGCATCCAGCATAGGTAAATGTTACTATCCCTTCTGAGGGCTTCTTAGAGAGTCTGACAATATAAATAAAACTGGATAAAACTCAGCAATAGAGCAAGACAGCCTGTCTAGGACACTTGCTTTTTTCCCCACAAGGATCACCCTGATTAGACTCCATGTTGAAGGAAGCGAGTGCATCTACCCTTCTTCCCCAGCCAGCACAAAGCTCTTCCCCCAAAACACACCGTGCAGACGGCACCGGAGGGCTGCTCACGCGGACACGCACGGGGCAGCACAGACAACGCGAGCGTCAGGACATTCCCCTGGGGACACAGGCTCCTCCAGAGCAACAGAAAAAGGCACCTCGGAGTAGCGTGAAGTAGCACAGCGCTGGCACTGCTGTGATCACCAATAGCACAACCAGGCTGAGAGGGGACTCTTCTCCTGCCCTGGGTTTTCAGCCTTGCACCTCCTCCCCTCAACAGGACATGCTGTTAACACTGCTGGAGCAGAAGATATAACCCCCCAAACAGCGTTCCCCTCACCTCCTCCCCTCAACAGGACATGCTGTTAACACTGCTGGAGCAGAAGACATAACCCCCCAAACAGCGTTCCCCTCACCTTCCTTGAGGGTGCAGTAGTCGATCTTGTACTTCGTTATCTTGCCATTACTCAGCTCTGGAGGAGGAGGCAGCCATGTCACACGGATGTCACCAGGAGTCATGCTCGAGAGGGACAGCTGAGGGGCAGCACTAGGAACTGGGCAGAAGCAACAACGGGAAGTCAGCAAAGACCGGGGCGAGACCTCCACACACCTCTGCCAGCTCTCTCAGCTGGCTGGAGGCCACTGCCTGGCCTTCTCCCTGCGCAGCCACTGGTGACACGCTGCCTGTCACAGGGCAACCATCACCCCGCAGCTCTCCAGCAGCTCAGACCACTGTCAGGGTGTCCGGCGAGCGTAGACGGTGGGCTGCTCCGCTCGGACAGGCTGCTTACAGCCTGCTGCCCACACCACGCTACCCTCTAGGGAAGCAAACCGCGACCCCGTCTCCCCTGAAAAATGGTCAGGTTAGCACTGATCAGCTAACCAGCCCACGCTGTGCTGTGGAGCACGGAGGAGACACTCAAGGAGATGGCTCAGCGATCCAGACTTCAGTCCAGGAATCCCCATTCCCTCAAGAATCACAGCTCAGCGCTGCAGGCAGCTTTCAACTCCGCTTTTCAGGCTGCAGACACACACGGTTCACTATGTCAGGAGTATTAAAAACATAAAAAGCACCCTGTAGCATAGCAGGGGCTTGCACGAGGTCTGCCAAAACCACCGGTTCTTGCCTCTGTCCTGCAGTCTGTTGAAAGCCGTACATGTCCTCCCCTGTTGAGCAGCTGTCCTTCTGGCACGCTGCCTTTACTGCCTGCAAAACGCTACGTGATCCATGGTAAAAGCAACACAAACTACTGGCTCGTAAGGGAACCAACCTCAAGGCTGCTCCTAACCCTACAAATTGCAATAGATGTCTCTCAAGTCTGGCCCAGAGTCCAGTCTGGAGCAGTGTCAGATTAGCTAGGGGCAAGCCCAGAGGAGCCGACTGCAGTTCCCACAGGATTCTCATGAGCCCCAGTGTCAGTAAGATCATTTTCATGGTCTTTATCACCCAAGGTGATGATCAGACCAGCGTGGGGTGCTGTGGTTTTGGTTGGTTTGTTGTCTTTTTTCAAAAGGGCTTCTGGCAAGAAGCCGTAGGAGCAGCACGTTTGGGTTTCTAGGAGTTGATACTATTCTCCATAGCATATTCAATGCTCACCATGAAACAGGCCAAGAACATTTTACAGGCACCAGTACCCATCTAACTCAACGCACCGTCCTCCAGGGTCTGAACAACGATGGAAGAGGACGTCCGGCTGGCTCCGAGCTGAGAATACGCGACCACGTAGAAGACATAGTTGGTGTTGGGTTCTAGGTCCTTGACTTGCAGCTCAGTGGTATCATTGTTGACAGCAAACTGGTATTCCACATTATCTGTTCCTAGAGCCAAGGAAACACTGATCAGCAGGTCAGTGAACTGCCAAGGCACTCCTCGAAAAAATCACTTCGTTCACAAGGTCCATAGTGTAAATCCACCCTAAAAATCGCTATGTCTTCTCCAATTTCCCCAGCACCTGCACGAAACCCATCTCTTCTGTGAATTGTTTGGGCGGACACATTCAATGCCTCAATGTTAACATCTCCATTTTGACTCAAGCTCCTCAATCCATGCTAAGGCAGCTGAAGTTACCAGCTTAATTTTCAAAAGAGCTCTGGCAACAGTTCAGCAGCAGTACTGGCTTGCTGGCTGTTTGGGAAGACAGACCCCAAGAGACCCGAATGCCTCACTTCACATTCTGGGTGGGAATGATTTAGTGATTACCCCTGCACACAATGTAGCTGTTTAATATCTCCATTAATAATCACATCCTTTGCATATAAAAATCAATGTGTTGGGGGAAAAGGTAAGGAACAGAAATAAATTTCCGAAGTGCCTGGTCCCAGCGGAATCCAGACAACTCCGGTACATGGACACGCTACTGCTGGTCAACCAATTAGTACGTGGCGGCTAATCCACAGCCACTGTCACCGGCTGATGCCGACTCCAAGAGAAAAGTCCTTTACCTGCAATGCAAAGGGCAAAACTAACTGGAATTGCCTCACACTTGTCACAAGCAGGGACGACCTGTGCCTTGTGTCTTGTACCTGCAACACAGCTGTGTCGCACAGGCCGGTAACACCTACCCACAGCCCGCTGGTAGTGTAACGAGAAGCCAATGATCTGCTCGCTGTTGTACTCTGGCCGCTCCCAGGACACCAGGACTGTGGTGCTGGAGAGGGACACAGCTGACACCTTCTTGGGAGCGCTGGGCAAACCCTCCCGCACGATCACTGAGAGCTTGGCAGTGGCACAAGCCATGCCCAGGCTGTTCTCAGCCACGCACTGGTAGTAGCCAGCATCCTCCAACCCGATCTGGTTAATGACGAGGCTCCCGCTGCTCTGCACCTTCACCCGCCCGTTGGAGAGGATGGCCTCGCCGTTCTTCAGCCAGTGAATGCTCGGGGCTGGCTCGCCCTCCGCCTTGCAGACAAACCGGGCCGTGCTGGCTCGGGTGCGTGAGATGGTTTCAGGAGCCTGGGAGATGCTGGGTGTAGCTGGGAGGAGAGGGGACAAATTAATGCAGGAAGGAGGAGGAGAAGATAGCAAAGCAAATCCCTTCTCCTCCCCGCTCAGCGCTATGTTTTATTCAGTAGCAGCTTTGCTTACAAGATAGGATTTGCCAGGCAGACTCTAGGGGCTTAATTTAGACTCTGTCCAAAAGGAAAAATAAATTCTGTATCAATCATGTGCTGCGTTCCCTGATCCTAGACTGTTCTCTCTGCTGGCTCCCACGATACTGAAAGTTAATTGCTGATACAGATTTCCACGGGGGAACCCTGGAAACAAGAATAAGGCATAAAATGGTTCGGTAAATACAAGAAACTAAACCCGAAATTAAAGAGGTGACTCTCCCACCGAGACCTACCCCAGCCCAGGGCCTCCGGGCTATAACCTTGCTCCCTTCTTACCCAGCAGAAGCCACAAATGCAACTTCTCGGGGAGCTCCTGGATGTTGGTCCAGGTGATCTACAGCTACCTGGAGCATCTATCCCGCTCTCTACTCACCAAGGACCCGGAGCTCAGCTGCTGCTGTAACAAACTGCCTGGTCTGGGGTTTGTTGGCACGGCAGACGTAGACCCCCGAGTGATGGGGCTGGCTGGAAGGAATGAGGAGATTTGTCCGGCCCAGCACAATCACATCCGTCGAAACGGGCTTTCCATCTGCAGGAAGAAACGTGCACAAATGTGGGAGGGAGCCCCACGCCACCCTTTAGGAAAGCTTGTAAACAACACATCTACAGAGCCAGGATAACAGCTGGGGAGCAGAGACCCCCATGTCCCAAACCCCAGCCCAGAGGATGATCCCTGCTGGGACACTCCGCAGTGCTCGACCGAGCGTCAGCCAGCCCCGGCCAACACTGGCCCAAGGTTCAGTTTAGCCTGTAAGAACCAAAAAAGTTCTGGTTTGGATCAAAACAGTCTCTGATGCCTAGGGAGTGCCTGCAACAAGAGCCCCTCGGAACAGCACGTTCAAGGGAAAGCTATGCTACCACACATTTTGGAAAAGCTTCTGGATCTGCCTGCTGACCCCCACGCACAAACACGGACGCCTCCTCCCCTCACTCGTTAATGCGAACGTCAGCAAGAGCGCTGAACCACCAACAGCTCAGGGGTTTTCCCTCCTCTAGGTCCCGGACACGAACCCAAATTTACTGAGCTTCCCGATTCATTCTTTGCCCCCATCTTGGCTCCTGACCCGTGAGGTATCAGGAAGATACCTGGTTCTCCTTGGGGCTCTGGTGTTTGGGTCAGAGACACAGGCTGTGGGCTGCCCTCTCCTCACTCTCCGGGCTAGATGCTCAGCACTGCTGAGCAGGGAAGGAGTAAAGGGTGGCTCCATCCCCCTGGCCAGAAGCTGAGCCATCCTTTTACAGCATCAGATAGCCCTAGGCTCCTCAGCACGCCACGGACAAGGCAGGAGGCTGGCGCTGGGCACTGCTTATTCTCAGCATTGCTCTGATGTGAGAAGCACGGGAACCGTGGTGTTGGTACCTCTGAATGAGTGTGGGGGAGGAAAGCCAAGAGCTGGGGACGGAGTATGAGCAAGCAGAGTCTTGCCAAGGAAAGACCTGGACGGGAGGTCAGGAAGCCATGGCCAGCTCTGGCACAAGTCAGCAGACTGGGAGAGCCAGCGAACTTGTGCAGTACCTGTGCAACACCAGAGCTTGTCCCTCTCCACCTGCAGCAGCACGGATGTCCTTCAGACAGTAAAAACTCAGTACTCGCCTGTCTTTGCCTCTCACAGATTCAGCTGAGCCTGTATCTGGAGACAGGAGCAAGCTCTCCACCTCCGCTGTGAGCAGCTGCACCTACTTAGCACCATCAGCAGGGAATGCAGCTGAGATCAGGTCCTCTACCTCCTCCACCCGTTTTGGGGGTCTTCAGGTGGCCTGCACCTACTTAGCACCATCAGCAGGGAACGCAGCTGAGATCAGGTCCTCTGCCCCCTCCATCCATTTTGGGGGTCTTCAGGTGGTCTCACAGTTCAGTGGCTGCACGCCCAGAGGAGGAGAAAATCTGTGCACCCCGTTTGCACTGGGTGGTTTGAAAATCCGACTCCAGATGGTAGCAATTAGCTGACGCCACCAAGGCTGGCAACAGCCAAACTGGCAACCTGGAGGTACGATCCTCCATGCTACCTACACG